GTCATGACTGGACTCCTGACCTACAGAATTTATGAGATAATAAAGGTGTGCTGTTTTAAGATTCTAAGTTTGAGATAATTGGTTATGTAGCAATAAGTGCCTAACACAGTACCCTCAATTCCATTGCTTATCAATAAAATATTTTAAGAGTTTATTACTCAAATTATTATTGTCTTTTAAAAATATTTTAACATGCTAATGGTCATGGTTCCTGAAAAGTGCTGTGAGAATCAGTCATGGTGTTAAACATTAGAGATATAAAAATCGTAGATCCTAGATTTTCTTTGACAATCTCAACTTAATTACACTGCCCTATTTTCCATAAATGCAATTAAAAATATATATGAGAAAGGGTGGCTTAATCTTCGTAGAATAAAACTGATATCCACAGGCTTTACTGCAGGTAGCAATATGATTAAGTTGTCTCGGTGAAATACAGTAGAAGGGGTGTCTAAAACTATTGGATGGATCCTTAAAAAAAGAGGGAATATGCTGCAATGTAGAAGTAATGGCTGGAACTTAATAGCCATTAGGGCTATGAGAAGCACCATCTATTAATGACGGTTGAGCAATAAGATGGAAGAAGCCGGAATCCCTGAGAACTTTGTGAAAGAGAGCCATTATGTCAGTTTCTGAAATGGTACTTTAAGCCTTAGTCTGAGTGAAGTGACTTTACCTTGTTTAAATTATGATTACTTGAAGTTTTACCTATACTTTCAGATGCTTGACAAATATTGGTATATATATTTAATTTGTGATCCTAAAATAATATATGCCTAAACATCTTTATTTGGCAAAGGTCAACATACTTCTGGTAAAGGCATACAAAAATGTCACCATAACTCTAGTAGAGGTATTTACAAAGTGCTAGTATTTCAGAATAAAGTAACATAGAAACATAGGTGCAGAATCCTTAAAAAATCTGAAGTGATCTGTGGGAAGAAGCATTATCTAATTTGACTGGAGTAGAGAGAGACGATGCTATATATTTTCTTTGGGGTATTAATGAGTGGTTAGAAAATTCATGACAATGAGTTTGCATATCACCTGTAGGCCATGAAGAGCACCGTTGTTTCTAAGAGAAAGATACATATTCTAGAAAAATAAATCTCAGCAGTGTGGAAAAGGATTGAAAGAAAAAGCTGAAAATTCAGATATCAAATAAAAGTCTGCCATAAAATAAGAGCATAAAAGGAGAAATAGGAATTTTAAAAAATTATTGATTCAGAATACTAGGCAAATATAAAACTGACAAGACTTAGAAGCTGACACGATATGGAAAAAATTCTGGGAAAGAATATTTATTGTTCTATTTCTTTTTCCTTGCTTAAATTATGATTACTTGAAGTTTTACTTATACTTTCAGATGCTTGAAAAATATTGACATATATACTTAACTTGTGAAAGCTGTGAAAGCGGTGAAAGCTTGTGATTACAAGATTGTCTAATCTAGTACCTGGCAATTAGTAGGTACACAGTAAATGTTAAATATTTTCTAGATTGCAAAAATTTCATCAGTAAAGAGACAATACATATTGATTGTTTTATGCTCCATTATAATTTGTAGTTATTCAATAAAAGTTTTTATAGAAAACATATCTACTGTTACCTGTTGAAAAGGACACCATCCCTTTAATATTTTTCATTGAAAATACTGTAAAATTGTCTCCTTGATAAAATTCTTAAGTTATTTTCAAGTCTCAGTATGTATAATTGTGTATAAATACTTTCTAGAACTTGTAAAAGTTCTCCCATCGGAAAACAAGATAAATGGTGTTCTTAAACCACAAAGAGAACTATGCTTAAACTCATCATAACAAAATTAGTAAATAAAATAAATCAAAATACACAGTATTTTGTAGAATTATAGTTAATATTCTCTAACATGACTGTATTATAAAGTTGGCTGGTCATTGTTTCCAAAATACCTTTGTTTATTTCTTTTCTTTTACAGGAAAATATTCTCACACCCTCTCTAACTTCTTAGTAAACACAGTCTCTTTCTCCCATCTTCATACACCCATACACATCACATACAAAATACAAATGGGGAAAACAGGTCTGAACTTTTGGGCTCTCCTGGGAGCTAAAGTATAGATGTGAGGTTTGTGATTGTCCTTTCATTCAATGTGTACCTTTTAATGTATAGTGAGATCAAACCCACTTTTGGGTAATAGTGTAACATTCATGAATGGAAAAGAGATCTTTAATTTCATAATATAGTTGTGGCAACAAAAATGTAAAATTTTCTTAGTTTGGGTCTCAAGAAGTACACAGAATCATTTTCTAAGATGTGTTTTGTGGGCAAAGGATATAGACATAAAGAATATATATATCCTTGCATATATTATATTCTCTAGCTCTCTGTATATCTTTAAGGGGTTTTGAATTATGAGAATACATAAGGATTAATAATTCTGATATGTTTTAGTAGAAGAAGTAAATGGCAATTTTAAGTTTCTTCCAGATATCTTATTCTATAGAATCATTGATTTCTTTATATATTTTCCTGGATTACACTGTGCTTTGAATGTAATCATTACCTTTGCTCTTCTTCAGCACTATATCAGATTGTATGTGGATATCTTGACCTGAAGATTGAAAAGTACACACTGAAGACTAATGTATTGGGCTATTTCTTCTCCTTGTTATATGGACAACCCATAACAAGTTTACTCCTTTATGGAGTTACTGCAATCTACTTACTGCACCCCAAGGATCTCAAATGGATAAAATGGAGCTAGTGTTTCTTCTTGTCTCAGCTTGTCTTCTAGTTAAAAAAAAATAGGATTTGGATCACATAAGAGAGACCAAATGAAAATCTTGCAGAGGCAGCATGTTCTAAACCAGCCTAGAGTTAGAAAACAATGCCACCAAAAGAAAATTAGAATGTGTGTAAGTCCCAAAGGTTGAAGAAAAGGATTTAATTAATTTTATGACATATATTTGTTTTTGGTGTTAATGAAAGAAAGCAAGGTGCTATGTTTGTACCCGTATGTGAAAAACAATTGTCTTTGAACATTTTCTATTCCTTTGAGACAATAATATAAACAAGGAATCAAAGTACACATTCCATTCAAATTGCCACTCTCTGTATATCTTTAAGGGGTTTTGAATTATGAGAATACATAAGGATTAATAATTCTGATATGTTTTAGTAGAAGAAGTAAATGGCAATTTTAAGTTTCTTCCAGATATCTTATTCTATAGAATCATTGATTTCTTTATATATTTTCCTGGATTACACTGTGCTTTGAATGTAATCATTACCTTTGCTCTTCTTCAGCACTATATCAGATTGTATGTGGATATCTTGACCTGAAGATTGAAAAGTACACACTGAAGACTAATGTATTGGGCTATTTCTTCTCCTTGTTATATGGACAACCCATAACAAGTTTACTCCTTTATGGAGTTACTGCAATCTACTTACTGCACCCCAAGGATCTCAAATGGATAAAATGGAGCTAGTGTTTCTTCTTGTCTCAGCTTGTCTTCTAGTTAAAAAAAAATAGGATTTGGATCACATAAGAGAGACCAAATGAAAATCTTGCAGAGGCAGCATGTTCTAAACCAGCCTAGAGTTAGAAAACAATGCCACCAAAAGAAAATTAGAATGTGTGTAAGTCCCAAAGGTTGAAGAAAAGGATTTAATTAATTTTATGACATATATTTGTTTTTGGTGTTAATGAAAGAAAGCAAGGTGCTATGTTTGTACCCGTATGTGAAAAACAATTGTCTTTGAACATTTTCTATTCCTTTGAGACAATAATATAAACAAGGAATCAAAGTACACATTCCATTCAAATTGCCACCATGGAGAAATAGACTGCATTCTCTTTCCCTTATAAATATTCCTAGAGATAAAAGTTGCAGTTAGATTACCATTGTAGTAGTATTATCCAATACTTAATTTTGTTTTAATAGTTTAGTTTAAAAATCTAAGTAGAAAAGTTTTAAGTTCAACTTAATATTTATAAAAGGGATTGAAAACCAAGAGGTAGAAAGACCCAGCAGAAAGGACACCTTCATTCTTTGGTCAATTATATCTAATCTACTTAGTAGTACATTTCAGGAAGTAAAAATGTCTCAAGGTGATTAATATTTAAAGTTATAAGCACATATTGATAAGAATTTTTATTACCTATGAACAAGTTTTCATTAAGTCTCATACATTTTAATCCTAATGTTTACTATTGCTTTTCAGATAATACAGTGTCTAGCTTCTTCCTTTACTAGTATAAATACTCCAACTATTATAACTAACTTCATCTAGAGCAAAATAGTAATGTAAAAGAATATATTCTTTAATGTATGCCTAATCTCTAGCTCAAAAAATAATGCACTTATTTTAGTGTATAGATTATAAACATAATTTAAATAAATACCTAAGATTTAATGCACTTAATATTTCTTGTAATACATTAAAAGTAATGGCACCAAAAAGTATTGATATTTCTCCCCAATTCATCATATGTCAGATACAATTTTATTGTTTTTCTCTTTGAATATTTGTGAGCCTATCCTAAGCCAAGAACAAAATGGAGATTTCATCATACATTAAGAGGAAGTAAATAAATAAGACAAAAAAAATAAAGTACTCATTCTGCTATTAAGAAAACCAAAGCAGGTGCTGGTTCACAAGGGATTTTATACTTTCAGAAGAAAATACATTTTAATACTTGCAATTTGATCTAAAAAAAGCTTAAGATTTGTCACATTAAAACTGAAACACTCAAAATAACCAACCTCATCACCAAATCTACTTGAGTACATATAAACTTCTGTTTAGTTTTATAGGAACATAAACTATCTTATCTACTAGACCTTTACCAAAGTAGACATGTCATGAAAATAAATGAGTAGCTCTAACTAGAACAGTCAAGCTCTTCATAGTATACTCCATGGATTTGCAAAATGCTTTCATTCTTATATTGACACAAGTCTAAGATACCTTGATCTAAAAAAAAATTTATACAGCAAAATATTTGGAATCTTACCTGTAACAAGAAAGCTGCATCTCCCGGCTCCGGCTTCATTTATGATGCTACAATTATAAACCCCATAGTTCTCATTGGAAAGACTCTTCACTGGATACTCCGTGTACTCTTGAGAGTCAAACTGACCCGTCCGTAATAGTTTGTTGCCCAAACGCCACTCATAGGTCAGCACCCGTATTGGATAGGCTCTCAGGACCCGGCAGCTCATAGTGACACTTCGGTCTTGTCCTTGACGGATTTCTAGGAATGCTGGTTCCACAGCAGGAGGATCTGTGGAAAAGATGTTAGAACAGGTAAAATATCTTGCTTGCAATGAGCCAGTGGATCTTACTGTGAGAAACTATTTATAAGAATACAATCAACAACAGGGAAGGAGTATAAGGGGTAGGTGTTGAACAAACATATTTAGGACCAGGAATGTCAGCTTGGGATGGGAAATGTGATTTGGAGTGTGGGCAGTGAACGAGACTCACTGCTTCAAAAAAACACTTGCAGGTGAAACTGGCAGTTTACTTTTTCTTTCTAGGTGCTTCCCAGAAAAATATTGTCATGACTATGTTTGTTTATACTGTCAGTAACCAAATGATGTTCTGAGTACAAAATCCAGTCTTCAAACTACCATTAAGACCTTGTAGCAGACAAAACCATTGGTTCAAGTAATGAATTCTAATTATTCCCCTGTGAAATTCAGTCTTCAGGTTTCTGGGTAGCCGTTATTTAATAAAATAGGTAACACAAGTACATAAATGAATTTATTTTCCAAATATTTGGTCTGAACTTAGCTTCACTGCAAGTCATAATATTCATGTGTAAACTTCAAGCAAATGGCAAATTATGCTACAGTTAGATGTGGTTTTCATCTCACTGTAATGATTCTTTTATCTTGATTAATTGTGATTTTTTCCCCATATAATTAAAACTTGCTATGTTAGGTAACTAAGCTTTTTATTTTTGATGGGAAGATTTCTAAACAGTGCTTCAAATTTTTTTTCCTCTTTATTAAGAGTAGGCAATATATAGTACTTTACTTAATGACTCCCGATGATCATAATAAATAATAATTATTTCCTGTGTGCTAATAATGAGATTAGTCAAGGAAACTGTATCTGACCACTAATAAATTCACCACATAACACAGTTACACACTTTACTAGATAAGTATGGCACCATCTTGAGTGGTACAGTATAAAACCTGTACAACTCTATTTGGCATCCCTTTCATCAAGATACACAAAGACTTAGGACTGCCACACCAAGTATGCCATCCAATATTCTTTACATGCTATTCCATCTACTTTTTATACTATTGTTCTTCCCTTTCACTGCTAATCTGTTGATTGGATCCTCTTGTTTTTTTCAACGAATATGTTTAAACTATTCTATGAATTCTAATTATCATAATATTATCTGTGAATTTAATTTTTTGAATTCTCCCTATATAATGCTAAGTATAAAAAAAAGAATGAGAGAAAAGAAGTTCTGTCTACATGTAGTTTATGGTTTAGCATAAGAGCAGACATTTAAATAGCTAATTTATAAAACTGAAGGATAAACAACAATTCTAGGATAGAAAGTAAAAAATTGAATAACACTATGAGGATTGACCAGGCAAGGCCTCCCAAGGATGTTGATACATAGGCTGTGTCTTCCAGGATACATGGAAAATGGTCAGTTGGGTTAGCAATAAGAGAGGGCATTACAGGTAGGGGCATTAGTATATGCAAAGGTAGGGATGAGACAGACAGGAAGGGATGTGCAGCAAAGTATAAATGAATATAGCTGGTGCACAAAAAGTGCATGAGGGATTGGGAGGAAATAAAGATGGAAAGAAAGATAGAAACTCTATTTAATGATACTTGAAGGTCAAGTTACTGAGTTTGGATTTTTGTACTGAGTGTCTCTTAATACCAGTTGGTATTGAGGGTCTTTGAAAATTTTTTAAAGAAAGCTTTATACTGAATTAACCAATCTTTTAAAAGGAATATTGTAGGAGATGGGAGGAGCATGAACCTCAAGGGAAGAGAACATAACGTCATTGGTGGCAGTCCGAACTAAAGTAATGTCAGTGGGGCCACAAATGATGTCTTGGACAATGAGTGGAAAATGGTGTCAGTGATGAAGACAGCAAATAAAGGGAGGGGTAGTTTGAAGTATAGTGGACCGAAGTTGTGCGCCTGTTAGTTACACAGTAGGGATACCTGCTAGGCAAGTGCTTCTTCATTTCCAAAAATATTATTTTTCACATGGACCACAACAAATGTCCTGCAATAGCTTTCTAAGGGGCCAATGTGCTGCTTTTTTTGACCTTCTCTCATTTTTCTAAGATTGGCCATATTTTCTTTTACAAGGAAAGTCAACTGTTGTTACTCTCCTGCTTAGAACACTGGATTGACACATCTCTGTTTGTGAAGCAGGCGTACAAGGTCCTGTAAGTGCTGGCTCTGGCCTTATTCTCAACCATTCTCATTTGGATTATTATGTTTTAGAAGTCTAGGTTTTTTATTGCTGTATACTAAGCCCTTTCTGGACTCTGGACCCCTGACTTTGTTCTGTTTCTTTTATACTTTCCATGGCTTCTGATTCTTACCTTTTAGCTTCAACCTCTTTAGAAAGTCTGCCCTTGATTACCAGTTAGTAAAACATCTCTCCTACTATTAATGATGCAATATAGCTATCATTGTATTTATAACCCACATAACACCACCATTTGTTCTATCTTATTTATGCAAGTTCCATTATGAAGCAACTCCCAGCCATTGGTTCATCCCCTACATCCATCAAGTACCTAGCATTAGAGTTAGTGCCAAAACATTACTGATAGAATAAATGAATGCATAGATGCACAGATGAATGAATCATGGAAAAGAATAAAGATGTCCACAATATCTTTCCATCAAGATCTGGGTTCTATGTCTGCTCTTAAATCTGGGTAGGCTCTGTGATCACTTTAACCAATAGAATATAGCAGAAATGACCCTGTATCAATTCCTGGGCACAGGTCACAGTAGTTTCACTTCCTATCTCTTGAAATACTCACTCTGGGAGTCCTAATCATGTAACAAACTCAACTACCCTGTACCATGTGAAGAGGTCTTGAGAGTATATAGAGAAGGAAACTGCAGACCCCAGACTTCTAGCAATCCACACCAAGGTTCCAGGCATGTGAACTTATCTTGGACCATCCATACTAGACAAGCCACCTGCAAAATACTGGCAAGTACCCCAGAAAATACCACAACCTACAGGAAGCAGAAGAATAGCCCACCTATCTGAGCTCTGCTCAAATTCTTGACTCACTAGAGATTAGATAATTAGATACAATAAAATTTGATTATATTGAGCTTCTAGGTATTAGAGTAGTTTGTTACACAGCAAAAGGTAAGTGATACAGATGGCATTTAGTCTTCAGAATTCAGCAGTTTAATATTATGAGTGGAGACTCAAAAGTGAAGCAAAAGGACAAGTGGACAGGGCAATAATTTAAGTGACTGACTATGGACTTCTAGCTGGTTCTGGAAGGAAATAAATTCAGGAGGAAACTAATGGGGTAAGAAATTCAATAGCATTAGTAAGACAACTCAGAAACCTGAAAAGCCAATACACCGATAATGATGGAGTCAGGAAGCCAAAAAGTTGCAGTTGATAAATAAAATTCTGTTGGAATTTAATATTTCAGAGGTAGAGAAATTTGGAGTGATTACAAGATCAGAGATATGGCCATTGGATGAAATGCTGAAGCAGAGTGGAGACTAATGATACCAGAGTCAACACACTTAGGTTAAGTGATATACACTTACTCTCAAGATGTATTTGTAGTTGTCTAACAAAATAAAGTATTTGCAATTACTTATCTTGTTAAAAATTTTTTTAAATGTCAGAGGTTATAAATGTAATTAATTACACCTAACAGGGAAATATCCTAAAATACAAATTTACTTTTTTCCTCTGAATGATTTTCTGTGAGAATTCTGAGTGTATATGACCTATTAGAGTTTTTTCAAATAATGGATTCTTTAAATTCTCACTATATATGTGTGTCATTCATCTAAACCTAGAAGATTCAGTCCTCTCAATTATTAATGGCTGATAAACACAATAGTGTTGGGTTAAACCTTTTCAAGCACACTGTGTTTCATAAAGTTTAATTGAGTCTGAGTTGGAAAGCATCCCTAAAGGGAAGTAATCCTTAATGCAATATAGGAGACTGTCCAAACTACTTGGATTCCAAAGTAGTTCCTTAACCTCAAAAGAAACTAGAAAATGTGAAACCGAATACACTCATTATAATCCAATCAAATTTGCCTGTGGAAAACTTCTCCTGTGATATCAATTTTATTTTAAGCATACTAGCTATTAATGAGTTCAGCATTTCATTCTTTGGAATACTCAGAAGGGTAAACCTCTGCAGTTTCGATTTAATGGTACAGTGTGAAGACTTTGAATTTGATGAAAGAAAGCTTCAGGTGTCAAAAAGTTAAGAGTTCATTATTCTGACAGAATCAGTTTTTCATGGTGTAAGAGTTATTCAGTATGCTTTATTATGAAATATTGAAATATTTAATTTTAAGGAACTGAACTAAAAAATTGTGAGAAAAATGTCCACTCAGGTATGAAATGCTGAAAAATAGCATTGCTTAAGAGAAAAAAAAACAGGTTTCCTTATTTTGTTCAATTAAATAAAAATAATTTAAAAAATAGACCATTATGTATACCAAATATACTCACTTACATTAAAAATCTGTGGTTCAAAAGTTTGTCAAACTATCTCCCTACATATATCCTGAGAATGATAATAATAAAAATAATAATTGTGTTTGTTGATATTGAATATTTACTAAGTGCTAGGTATTGTTTTAATATATTCATATAGTTTATCTGTCTGTTATAGCAAGTCATTTTATAGAAGAACACATTGAAACACAAAGTTAAGCAAACTCACCAGCTAAAAAGTAGCAGAAGATGCAGACAAGACAATCTGCTTCCAGAATATACACACCTGATACCAACCAATGCTTCATTGTTTCCAATGACAAATATTACCAATGTTTCATGATGTAGCTCTCTCCCTCAAAGAGGATTTTGAAAACCTTGCCCTATTGGTTATTTAAAATTATCAATTAAAATAGACACTGCTGTATTCACACCATCAATTAGAATTCACAAACTTGAATATGTCAAAAATGGAAATCATGTTTAGTGGAAACCATAAAAGTATTGCAACAAAACTGCTAGGTTAAAGGAAGATGTTAATGATGGATTTCAAATCGGAT